GGGGGTGTGGACAGGCAGGGACAACAGACAGTGAGGAATGGGCCTGCTTACCTTACCATCGTGTGTCAATATTGGGTGGATGGATGGATGGATGCAGTCGTGTCGTCTGAATCACCTGTTGAAGTCGTCACAGGCCACCCACTTCAACTCTAACACACTCGCCATTGCCGTACGAACGAACGGGTGGATTGGATACACACACGTCATGTCATGTCATCTGTTTAAACATTCAGATCTCCACCTTGGCTCGTTTCGACTACCTTCATGTGGACCTCTACCGCTCCATCGCTGCCGTAAGCCAAGCCAGATGAGATGAGATGAGCACACAGACAAGTGAAGTGAAGTGAAGTGAAGTGAAGTGAACGGTCCATCTCATCTCATATGTGTGTCTGTGTGTGGACTGGACTGGACAGGCCATGTTGAAGCAGATCAACAACGTCAACGCGGCATCGACACAGCAGCTCATTATGGGTCGGTCGGTCGGTGCGGCAGCCAGACCAGAAGAGAGAAACAATACATGCAGCCAGCGGGGTGACGCACTGGGCACTGGTCGGCGAATCACGTATGCACCTGTGTGTGCACTGCACTGCAATGCAGCTATGTGCCGCTTCCGGGACCACCCTGACCTCCACGACACCACCGGTAGGGAAATGAGCCCATCTGGGTGGACGGACGGTTGCATGTGTCTGTCGATGGCCTCATAAACCCCTGCGTGCCTGCCTACGTGCAGTTCGGGTGCTCAAGGCGTTTGCGAGCCACGTGACGTCGGCCGACGTCCTGCCCACCGTCAGCCCCGTCCAGGCGGCTACCCTGCTCGCATCACTCGCAAAATTCAAGTATGAAGAAAGACACAGACAGACAGAGGCATACAGGGAGGGACAGATGGAGAGGCAGGGAGGGAGCGAGGGAGGGATGCATGTGTGCATATCAATGACATGCTCCTCTCTGTCTGATCTACGGCAGATACTGCGATCCCCACGTTGTGTCGCGGCTGTTGACTGTTCTCACCGGTGGGTGGTGCGTTGTGAGTGAGTTTGCTGCAGACAGACAGACAAGTCCTGCCTACATCCGCCCGTCTGTCTGTTGTCTGATGGTTGTGACGTGATGTCTGTGTTGTGTGTAGGTGAGTCGACGAGCAGGCCTGAGCTGTTCGATGAGGGCCGGCCCCGCACCAGGCGGCAGCAGCAAACACCACCCAGGCCGATCGAGATGGTGGCCACGTCCGTACGGGCGTATGCAACGGTAGAGAGAGCATCAAGATACCCTGACAGACAGACAGAAACACATTGCCAGCTGAGCTACTCTCTCTCATTGATGTGATGTGCAGATCCCGCCCTGCCCGTTCGATCTCTCGGCCTGCCACAAGGTGAGGGCGCTCTCTCTCTTGGGGTCGGGTATGCTATGCGTGTGGCGGATTGTGTGGTGTGCAGATCCTTAGTGAGATGGACCTTGCTCTGCTGCCGTGCGTCGCCGAGAGCATCGCAGAACTCTCCTTCTGGTCGCCGAGGGCCATACACGTCATGCTCATGGTCAGTCATCAGCACGTCAGTCACGTGGGTGGGGTGTGGTGTGTATGTGTATGTCTGTGTGTGTGATGCGATTGTGTCTTTCAGGTGCGTGATGTGTGTGAGCCGCATCTGCACGACATGAAGGCCAACCAGAACCTCTCAATGGCACTCGCATACGCCGACTGGCACTTCAAAGACTGGTCAGCCAGCCAGCCGCTCACTCAGCCACACACACACACACACACACAGACACGAAGGCGTCCTGTCCTCTTCACGGCGCTAATGTACCTACCTCTTCTGTCTGTGTGTCAGGGAGGGCGTGTGGGCTGACGAGCCGACGGAGGATGAGGTCACACAGGCGAAACAAGAGCTCCTCAACGACATGGCGGAGCTCCAGACCAACAGAGGGGAGCTCTTCCAGCCATCCAGACAGAGCCAGCCACCCCCTCCCCCACCCTCCCCCTCCCCCTCGCCCTTCCACCCCTCCCTGCCAGTGAGCGACTGCTCTGTGGCTGGGGAGGGCGAGTGGGAGGCGACGGAAGTGCCGTTGGCGCTGGCGTGTGCGTTGGAGAAGGCAACGTGGAAGCAGCGGCTGCTCACCAGCTGTGTCGAGGGCCTTAGGCGACATGAGGGGTACATCGAAATGTCCTGGACGGCACTCGCAAAGGTAGCTAGGATCAGCAAACCACCCTTGCACTGCTTTGTCCACTTGAGAGTGCCTAGCTAAGTTGTGTTGTGTCTGTGTCTGTCAGGTGAAGACCCTTTGGGACCTGATCGCTATGGGACTGTATCTGGATAATGACGCCCACCAGGCCGCTACCCTGCCGGCCCCCCTCCCGCCCCTCCCCCTCCCACCTGACGAGCAGCGGCCCCTCCTCACCCCACCCCACAGCATCCATGTGCTCGAGCACTGCCCACAGCCAGTGCGGCAGCTCCACGCACGCTACATCAAAGCCCCTCCACCAGCAGCAAGAGCAGATGATGGCGATGACGTGGTTGAGGATGTTAGTGCGGGTGCTGATGGGTTGTCGCCTTTACTGTGGCGGTGGCTGACGCGGCTGAGTTGCATCACGCGGGCTGCTGCTGAGGAGACAAGGAGACTCACCAAAGAGGGCGGGGGACGAGTGGTACACGACGATGCCACCGTCACACCACAGACAGAGACCGAGGCGCCCCCTGCCCCTGCCGATGTCGGCCGGCACCAGCAGCGGCAGCGTGACCAAGCCGCCCCACACACCGACACCCATGTTATTCGGCCTATCTGTTTGGATGTGCCCTTATTGTCCGACCTTGACGTCCAGCGGGCCATCGCCCCCCTCCTCGAGACACCCGAGTGCGTCTCAGGCGCGGGTGTGGCCATCGACATGCACAGCTCGCCCTACTGCCTGCTGGTCGACCCGATCGTCCGTGGCTGCCGTGTGCCGATGCTGCTGCTGAAGAAGGACGATCAGCAGCTGCGGGACATGCTCGAGGGCGCCACGAGAGTGAAGCTTGATGCCTTCATGGCGGACCGGACAGAGAGAAAAAATGGTGGTGATGAGAGGAGCGAGGAGGCCGGGGATCATGAGACGACGGCTTCGCCTGAGGGCGACGCCGCCCCTCTCGCCAGCCCGACCAGCGTCGAGTCGGCCCTCCCTGTGCTGGGTGAGCTGCTCGAGACTGACTCACCCGACAACGGCCATTCTGTGTCAATTCCGGCTCGTCCCCATCGCCCACATGACGACGAGGCGCTGCGCAGGACAGTTGACGAGCACTTTGCGTATGCGCGTCGGCAGTGGGAGTTGGGCAAGGGGGGTGGGGGTGCCGGGGGAGGGGCTGTGGCTGTGGCTGTGCAGCACAGGCGGATGATGCTCAGACAACAGACGTGACGGGATTACCTACGTGTGTAATCCGTCCCTTGGTGTGTGATAGGACAGGACATCGACACAGCTGGGTGTAAAGATTGGATGAATGAGAAAGAAGGAGGGAGGGCCAGGCCATGCGCTTTCCGCGTCGATCGCATCGCATCGCATACATACATACAGTTACGTTACAGTAAGTCGGTCGTCTTTCACTCACCACATCCATGCCATGCTCGCACACACACATGAATGAATGAATGAATGGATGTGTATCCTCGTCTTCACACCGCGGCCGTGCAGGCGACCATGTCTGTCCTGCTGCTGGACGAGTGAGGACGGAGAGGCGCACGTTACGTTCGTCTCCAGTCACTCACTCACCCTCCAGCAGCACAGGGCACCTCACCTGCCGGCAGGCGTGGAAACAAGACAAGGGAAATCGGAACACACATACTTGACACATGCCAGGCTAGTCGTCATCCCCCTCGTCATCATACGACAGCAATGCACTCAACAACTTCTCACTCGCAGCAGCAGCGGGCTTCTTGCCACCACCGCCCTCCGATGAGGACGAGAGATGCCCGCTCGCCTTGCTATCCTCCCTCTTCGCTGCCTTATCTCTCGCCTCTTCGTCATGGCCTTCGGCGTTAGCTGGGTGCTTGCCCTCTTCGTCTTCCGCCCCTGCTGCTGCTGCTGCTGCCGTGGGGTCGGCGCCTCCCTCTGTCTTGCGCTTCTTCTTGACGATTAGCCCGGCAAATCGGTGCTGAAACCACACACATACAACACAGAGAGACGGAGGGAGGGTTTGCTCTCGCCCGTATCCATCCATCCATCCATCCATCCATCCATATTCCCAGTGGCACACCCACCCCTCCACTGGCGGCCGCGTCAGCTTTCCTTTTTTCGGCAGGTGTGGGCTTCTCGTCCACCAGGCCGCCCGACGTGCCACTGGGAGCAGCAGAGTGGTGGTGGGCGTGGGTGTTGGCGTGGTGTTGGTGTGTGTGTGGTGCGGCGGGGTTGAGGTGCAGCTCTGATCGTGCCTTCTGGAACTCTGAGAGCGCATCTCGCTCCTCCTTGGCCCGCATCGACATGCGGTCGCGAGTCTGCTTCTCCACCTGCTGATAAAACTCGTACTCGTCCTCGGTCACCTGATCATCAACCAACCGATGGATGGATGGAGGGAGGGAGGGACGGAGGGAGGGGGTGTGGATGGTGTTGAGTGTGCTCAGTGGCTCGCCCGCTGACCGGTGGTGGCGCGAAGGGGTTTGCCGTCGTGGTGCCTGTGGCCTTGGCTGCCTCTGTTGCTGCCTCATCGGGTGCATCTTCTGGCGGTGCCGAGGAGTCGGCGACCTCTGACATACTGCATACATCGCAGCGAGCACACAGAAACAACGTGTGGGTGCAGAAGGTCCACTGGTAATATCATGCATGGTTCATCCATCCCTCCTTCTGGCTGGCTGGCTCACGCACGTCGGCATAAAGGCAGCTGCAGAACAACATTCACAGGCGAGTCAGCGGATACAGACAGATTGACAGACAGATGACGCGATGATTGAGATCTGCGTCAGCTCATGCTTCTCCCTTGCCGGTCGGTGTGTGCGTTTGTGTGCTCACGTATGTACCTCTGCTGAATTCGGGCAGTTTTCGCAGCCGCTCCTCATAGTCTCGTTCCTCCTGCGTGCGGTTGTCCTTCTCGGTGTACGACACCCCCGATGCCGTGATCTTCTGCTGGTACGTCCCTCGACTCACGAAGTTCATCTTTGCAAGCCAAGCGGAATGGGAGGGAGCTGCAGATTGATTATGGAGGAAGGAAATGAAAGCAGAGCCAAGGCGATGGTGAAGCCAAGCTCGCGGCAATCGCGAAGCTCGCATTTTGCGCTGCTGCTCCTGATCTGGCGCGGATGGCAGATCAGGTGCCCCTGGAGCTATGGCGCCAAAGCGTGACTCCCTACCTTCAAATGGCTGGTCTGGCGGCGCTGCGGACCACTTCCCCTGTCTTCTCTACTTCCGTCATCACGGCTGATCTACTGCTGGAACGCATTGACGCCTCTCTGACCCGCAACTCCCTCCATGGCCTTATCGACGTCGACCGCAGCTACGGAGTGGGTGTCCCTGGTGGTTGCGTTCTGGACGACCTTGTCGCCTTTGTCTGCCGACTGGTGATGCCGTGGGCTCGCGACAGCTCTCCGAGCCGTTTCAGCTATCTGTTGCGGTTCGCTCTCATGCTCGAGCAGGGCGGCAGCGGCTGGCGGAACATCGCCGTGTTCCTCAGACTGGCCGTCATCTACCAGCTGATGGCTCCTAAGGCAGTGCCATTTGTGGTCTCGGCCCGGTGGATGGCCGCTCATGTGCGCACGAAGCCGGCCGCCGACGACCTGTATCTGATGAGGGTCGTGTACTTCTCTTTGATCCGACATCGAATGAACTCGAGGAGAGAGATACTGCCGACGGCGAAACGAGAAGGCGTGAGTGGAGGGGATCGGTTGCAGCATGCTGATTATCGGTTGCAGCGTGATGATCCGTATGCTGTGCGCTACAACCGACACGATAGTGCTGTCGGCAGCCGCATCGATGATACCCGTTTCTGTATCTACCCCTCGTTCTCGGCGGCTCTGGTGTCGAGGCTGATCGGTCGCTGGCTTGTAGACCTATCCTATTCTGGGGAACACACGATGGTGCTCAGCGGATGTGTCGGTGACAGCGACGATCGCTACCTCTCGCTGATGAGTGATGGGCTCACTGGCCAGGATGTCTTCGCAGTGGGCTACCGGTTTCACGACAGCGGGTCGGTCACATATTGCCGTTTCGTGATCGTGAGCGGCTTTCGTCCTGACGACACTATTGTGGCCTACATAAAGCTGTATCGTGGAGGCCTGAAGCTCTACACGACTGAGCCATGTGTTGGTGACGCATCGTGTCCCTTGGACGAGCGTCTGCCCACATCGATGGGGCTCTTCCGTCGTGTGCTGGGGCGGTTCGGGCTGGAGAAGGAGGTCATCGACGGTGGGAGAGTGACGGTCTAGTGGCGGTGGTGGTGGTGGTAGACAGCTGCTCATGTTATGGTGGCTTGGCTTGTGGTGCGGTGCATTCATTCGTGTGTGTGTCATGTCTGTCTGCAAAGACATCTGTCTGTCTGTGTTGTACGAGTGCGGTTCAACAGCTTTCGGCACCGCACACGACCTTACCTGGTGCGACCGATTTTTCAGTAGTCGATTGAGAGAGGCGCGTCCGTGCTTGGCGTGCATGTCCTGCTTGCTCTGGTGTGTATGAATGCGGCGACAGTGCAACAGTGCATTAGACACTCCGATGTCAGTGAACGTGGGATGCGGATGCAACACCAAATTGGGTCCATCGAGTGTGTTACGTTACGTCCACATGTGTCCATCCCACTCAAAGACCAACTGTTCGACTTAGAGAACAATTGGGCATGGGCACTGCCCTCTGATACTCCAAGCCAACGAGCCTGTCCTGGAGTGGGAGGGGCACCTCGGTTCACTCACATCCGCTCACAGGACTCTCACAAACTGTTCATCAAGTGGTCTGTCTGTCTGTCCCTCCTACTCTGCGGCCTTTCTCACTCCTCCTGGCTTCTTGAAGGTGCGCTTCTTGAACGTCCCTGCCTCCTTTGAATCGCTTGGCGACAGGGCGCTCTTCTGCATAGACACATGCCACACACGCCGAGAGAGACAGACAGAATGCGGCCCAAGTCGGCGCCGCGCCCACCCGGCCTTTCAGGAGTGCGTGTGTGCACATTTATCTCACCTTGATGACCATTTCCCTCTGCCTGGCCTGCAGGTCGTCCTCGTTGAGCACCGGCTCGTACTGCGTCTCGATGCGCAGCGCCTGAACAGGGTCCATCTCGTGCGCAGGGAACTCGTCACCTGGTCAACCCAAACAAAGCAGAGGGTGTGTTGTGTGCGACACGAGATGCACTCACTCTCACCTGCGGCAGCTGCGTCGGCCTCGCCCTGCACAGCGTTGCCGAACCTGCTTTCCTCCGGCGCGACCTCCTCCCACGCGCCCACCATCGCACCCCCATCGCCACCGGCATTGTAAACAGCCTCTTCATCCTCCTTACCCCCTCCCTCCCCCTCTGCCGCTTCCTCGTTGCCGGGCCGCTCGACGACAGGCTCACTCCTGACATCCTCGCGCTTGGTCAGGGGTGGTGTATCGCCAAAGTAGCCCGTCCCCTTGTCGCCATTCTTGAACACATGGCCGTATTTCACGCCATCAAACCCCTCAGAAGCGATGAAATTGCCTTTAACATCGTCCTCTCCTCGCGCCGCTGGTGGAGGGGGCGGTGGAGGGGGCGGTGGAGGGGGCGGTGGCATAGAGGGCGGCGCAGAGGGCAGTCCAGCCGCAGGTAGTGGGGGAGGAGGGGGCGCAGAGGGCGCTTTCGGCGGTGGCTGTTGTTGCTGCTGTTGCGGTGTCGTCAGTGGCATTGGTGGGGGCAGTGGTGGCTGTGGCATGCTGCCCATCATGTCTGGTGGCTGTTGCCACGACGACGCGCCCGTCAGAGTGTTGAAGTACAGGGGCAGGCCAGTGGAAGGGTCCTGGCAGATCATCCAACCTGAGAGAGAAGCACACACAGTACAGGAAAGCCTCAGACACGGCCGTAGTCAGCCGCATAGCTATCTGCCTGTCTGATGGACTGACCTGCAGGGCCAGCCTCCATTTGCGGCATTTCGTCCCTTGCAGCCAGGGGGACGGGAGGGACGCCATACTGAGGCTTGGGCATTCCTGGGAACGGATCTGCACTCAGGCAATAGACACACCGGCATGGCATCATCAGCCCTCCATCAATCCTCTCCTCCCTCCCTCCCTCCCTCCTTCGTTCTGACCTGTCTTCTGCTTCTTGGTCGCCGGCTGGGGGGCAGCGCTCACGACCACTCCAGCACCAGGTGGGACACCGGAATCACCACCACCAGCACCAGCACCCCCACTCCCGCCGCCGCCGAAGAAGCGAGCATCGTCTGCAGCGGCCGCCCTTGCGGCCTTCTCGATTTGTGCGAGTTCGGACTGGACCTGCCTGGCCTCGTTCTGCCTGTCCCTCTCCCTCTTGCGCATCTCGATGATGTTGCGCTGCTGCTGCTGCAGATGACGCTCGCTCTGGTTGTGCCGCTGGATGTTCTGCAGGGAAGTCAGTAGGTAGTGAGCAATCAACGCAACGAAGGAAACACAACACACACGTGGACATTGTCAAGCGCTCCCGTGTGATGGTGTGTGTTGTGAATGTGCGCACCGCCTGGTTTCCTGTGATCCAGCATTTGCATATCTCGCAGTAGTACTTGGCCGTTGACACCCAGAAGTCCGTCATTCTTGCTGTGAGGGTGAGTGAGAAACCAACGAGGGCGAGAACAATGCCTTGCGACACTCGGTCAAGATTCGGCCGAAAGATGAAGCGCCGTACTCTCCAGGAGGCCTCTGCCAGGCTCCTCTCCCCCTCTGTTTCCTCTTCCCTCTCCCTTCGCTTGCGAGCTCTGTGCTCCCTTTCCCCCGATCGACTTCGCGCCAAGCAACGAGATTTCGAGATCCCAGCGTTTGGATGGCATTGGCATCCACGTGTGGCACCCCTTCGATGCACCGAAAGCGGCCGATTCACGAAACCAAGCGTGTTCTGTTCATCGACTCATCTGACGAGGGTGGTTGCGGCGTCTAAACCACGTGACACGGCTTCACATGTCAGCAACAACGTTCTTCCCCCCTGAGTGATTCCATCCGATGGGCAGCGCACTGTCAACCAAGCGTTCGCAGGCCATCTATCGCGGCTTGTCGAGTCGGCTGACCAAGTGGTTCCGCGGCGACCGGCAGGGCAGCGGCCTGTCGGTGTTGAAGAGCATCTTCAAGGAGCTGGCGTCGCACTCGCGCTCCAAGAACCAGACGGTGGACAAGGAGACCTTCCTGAGGTACTTCCCCCTGCCGGGCATGCTGGGCGAGCGGCTGTTCGCCGTCTTTGATAAGGACAAAAACGAGGGAATCGACTTCCAGGTATGGATAGCAGCAATCAGGACACCGCAGGTCCGTCCATCCGGACACTGATTGTTTCCATGCGCGCGCGCGTGTGTGTGTGTGTGTCAGGAGTTTTTCACCGGGTTGGCGCTCATTTACCACGGAAGCCCTGACGAGAAGAAGAAATTCCTATTCGACATGTGCGTGAATCTCTGGGGGACAGACACATGAAAGGGGGACGGTGGGTGACGTGGCGTGTTGTGTGTTGGTAGGTATGACTTGGATGAAAATGGGTACATCACTCGGGAGGAGCTGTACACGATGCTGACGCACATCCCCGCGGCCTTCAAGATCCTCGACGCGTCGCTCCACGCAGAGGGCCACGGGGCCACAGCGCACTTCCCTCAGTGGCAGCAGGTATGCACAGACAGACATAGAAATGTGCGCGTGTGCCGCCATGAATGGAATGTGTCCACCGTCTGTGTGTGTCAGGATGAGAGCCTCACCGAGTCAGATCCCGACCTGCAGACGCGCATCGATGACATCGTCGAAGGCGCATTCTTGGACAAAGGTGGGTGGCGTGGATTGGGGGGGCAGGTGGAGGGCAATCAAGGGCGCCGCGGTGCTGGATCTCCTTCTGTATGGTTGCTTGCTCAGATGAGACGAGCAACGGCCTGGCCTTCGACGAGTTCTGCCGCATTGTGCAGAAGTCGCCAGAGATACTCGAGGTAGGTGATGGTGTTGATGCCTGGTTCAACATATCACTTCATTCTTGTGTCTGCCCGTGTGTGCAGATGATGAACATTTTCTATGACGAGGCGATGCCCGAGATGCCCCCCATCCCCTCCCACTCCTCCCCCCAGGCGTCAGCGCCCAACATCGCACGATCCCTCTCGCTCCACACCAACGACAAGCCCGCTAACACCAGACACAAGGCCGCCGTCGACCGACTCAAGTCGGGCAGGTCCATCACGTTCACGTCCGGCGAGGACGCCAGCCAGGCCAGCCAGGCTGAGCCGCCCTCGCCGCCCTTCCTCCCCGCCACCCCTCCCTCTTTCATCGCGTGTACCTTCTCCCCCCTCACGTCCCCCACGGCCAGGAAGGACCACGCGGCTTTATTGGAGCCTGGCGGTGGCGGTGGTGGTGGTGGTGCTGGGCACGGCCACCACCTGGGCACGGCCACTGCCAGCTGGGGACACATGGGCGGGCTAGGGAGTGCCAGCTCACAGATGTCCCGGACACCGCCCGCACCCTCTTCGTCGGATGACGGCACTCTCTCTGCGCCACGGTGAGCGTTGCAGGAAGGACGAAGGACACCATGAGAATGCATTCGTGTGTTGGTGTTATGGCTGGAGCGGTCAGGTCTCCGATGGCCACTCCCTCTTCGCCCCACTTCACCTGCATCATGTGCAAAACAGAGCTGCTGGCGTCCCTCAACCACTGCCCACGGTGCGGCTCCGCACTCTCCGCCAACCAGGCCGCCGACTACTTCTGCGAGTCGTGCAACTGGTCGCTCCGGGAAATCCGCTACTGCTTCGTGTGTGGCCAGCCACTGCAGCCCAACCTGATATCGGCACAGTATGGGGCGGGGGGGCCGGCAGCGTCGCGGGAGTCACCGCAGCCGACGTACGCGTCCCTGCCGTCGGTTGGGGCCCAGTCTGGTGGCACCAATGGGAGCGGCAACGGGGTGTCGCCGTCGCACTCGCAGTCCTTCACCGCAGTCAGGAGAAGCGACTCGGTCAGTGAGTGGGCAACTTGGTGGGGGACAAGAGATCTATGCCCACCCACCATGTCATGTGAAGATATGTGGATCTGTGTGTGTGGTTGGATGGGGGTGGTCGATGGCTGGTTCAGCGGGTGTTGCGTACTCGTACGGAGGAGTGTGTCATGCAGACTGAGGGGGACATGTCAGGATGGCTGTCGAAAGGTACGGTTACGGTACACGTGAGTGTGTAGGGCTGCGTGTGGCTGGTCAGTGGACGGACGGCGCGCATGTGTATCTTTCTTTGTGTTTATGTGTGTGCTGTGCTGTGCTCCTGACTGACAGTTGGTCAGAAGCTGGGCATGATGAAGCAGCGGTACTTTGTACTCAGAGACCGACTCCTTTACTGTAAACCACACACACACACACACACACACATCCCCCAGATGGCGCTTTGCTTACGGGTGTGGTTTCCCTCACTCAGACTACGCCAGCGACAGGGACAGGTTGCCCAGAGGCGTCATCTTTGTGTCGGGCTCCTACGTGCGCGCCCATAGGAGCGACGACGCCTCCAAGAGACTGGGCATCGAAATCAAAAGCCCGGTGCGTGTGTGTGTTCTGCCTGCGTGGCCAAAGAGCAGAGCAAACAATGAGTGCATCTTGCTTCCTTCGTGTGGTGTTGTGTGTTGTGTTGTGTGTGGCGTGGTCAGAACGAACGCGTTCGGTATCTGTACTGCAACTCTGCTCAAGGTAAGGAGCTCAGCTCCACACACGCAAATGCCATATGTGTGTGGTGTGGTACATGTATGTGTTTGTGTCTGCAGATCGGGAGGAGTGGGTGCAGGCGCTCGTCAAGGCGTCCAAGTCTGTGTCGATACATGAGTTCTACTCACTCAAGGTAAGGTTCCTAACCTACACACACACGAATGGGCGGCCGGCGGGGCGGCGTGCACTGCACCGATCTGATCCCCATCTGTGTTGCGCGTGTGTGTGTGCAGGAGAAGATCGGCCGCGGCAAGTACGGAGAGGTGTACAAAGCTGTACATAAAGCCACACGTACGCCAACTCACCGACCAACACCACAACACACACACCCATCGTATCGTTGGCCTGCGGCGTATGTATGTGCATTTATTTGGTCGTTCATGGCTGGCTGGGTTGGCTGCAGTGTCTGAGGTGGCGGTGAAGATCCTGCCCAAGACGTCGATGAACGAGGCTGAGCGGGAGTACCTGCGGATGGAGGTCGCCATCCTCAAGCTCGTCCAGCACCCACACATCGTCAAGCTCCTCGACATATTCGAAACATCCGAACACCTCTACTTGGGTGAGTGAGTGAGTCCATGGTGTACCTGACACACACACAGGGATCACACGGCATGGCATCGTATCGTCATGTATGCTGTCTGTTGGGCTGCCTGCCTGCCTGCCCCAGTGATGGAGCATTTCCCGGCTGGCGACCTGGCTGAGTGGATCTACCAGATGCGCACAAAGGAGGGCAAAAGGTGGGTGTGTCAGCATTGGGTGGGCTGAGTGACTGGCACCCGTCATGGCTGCCGCGGCCGTGTCCGCTGTGTCTGTCTGCAGGCGTCTGCCCGAGAGGGTGGCCCAGCGGATCATCAAGAGGGTCCTGTCGGCACTCAGATACCTCCACTCCAGAGGAATTACACACAGGCAAGCCAAGCACGGAATTCATACATACAAGCACCACAGAAGACGTTGTGTGAGGGACCAAGGTGTGTTTCGCTCATCCCACGCCCACTACAGGGACCTGAAGCCCGAGAACATCCTCTTGGTGACGTCCCGAACGGTCTTCTGCTGCTCGCCGAACCGCCTCACTCGCGCGGGCACGTCGCCAACCCACGCAGAGACGGGCGGGGGAGGGGCGGCTGACCGCTTCAAGGACGCCATCCCTGCGGCCATGGACGAGTCCGAGGCCGCCCGCCACGAGCACGAGTTCTCGTTCAGTGCCCACGGCACCAAGCCCAGTATCGGCATCGACGAGTCCATCATCCGCATGGCCGCTGATTCGGGACGGGGTGAGGGAGGGGGGTCGGCTGGAGGGGCGGCGTCGTCCAGCTCTTCTTCGTCCCCCGCGCCGTCGCGCGAGACCACCGACGGGGGGCCAAACCGCGTCCCCCCCACCCCGCCCCCAGCCAGCACTACCAACCACCTCTCCATCCCTCTCCCGCACAGCCAGGCCTCACCCGTCAGCTCGCCCACTCCGTCCCCCATGGCGAGCAGCAGCCAGGGCTTCGTTTCCTCACCCACACCCACACCACTGTCGCCATCATTTGGTGCGGGGTTCGGGCAGTCCCCCGGTGCTTCTGCTGGGGATGGTGATGATGGTGAGGGCGGGGAGGAGGCGACGGGAGACGAGATTCTCGACATCAAACTGACCGACTTCGGATTATCGAAGATACAGGGTGGGTGCCGAAGGGGGAGGGGAGGAAGGAGGGGAAGGCGTATCGTCCACTGGCCCATTCGTGTGTGGTCTCTTTCCCATCGTCTGTGGATGTGCGCAGCTCCAACCCGGCAGATGAGCGAGAGTTTGGGGACGCTGAGCTATGCTGCGCCCGAGATCATCTTGGGCAAGCCGTACGACAGCCGGGTGGACATCTGGAGCACCGGCGTCATCGCCTACTGGCTCCTCAGCGGCGAGCTGCCCTTCCAGGGCGACGACGACCAGAGCATCGCCGAGTGAGCAGTCTCGTGTGGCAGCAACGAGTGGATGCACGTATGTATGTGGGCTTGGCTGTGTGTGGAACAATTTCAGGGCGACTGTCCGTTGTGAGTATCGTTTCGACACTGACGACTGGGCGGGCGTCTCAGATACAGCCAAGGTGAGCGAGCCAAGACGTACACGCTCACGCTCTCGATGTTTCGGCTTGGCTTGCCTTGCCTTGCCGCAGGAGTTTGTGAGTCTGTTGCTGAAGCGTTGGTCCAAGGACCGTCCCACGTGCGAGCAGTCCCTTCAGCACCGGTGGATCCACGAAGGCTCCCCCACCATGCGACGCTCCCGCACAGCCGGGGCCGACCCCGCCACACACTCGCTCCACCTGCTCCCCCCCGCCCCTCCCTCACCTGCTAGTGCCGCCTCGTCCGGCGGGGACTCACGCAAACATTCCCCCGTCGTCTCCACACACCCCTCGGGCATCCCCAAGTCGCCACAGCGGCACAAGAACCACCACAACCGGGGCGGCCTCCTGCCGACGCCATCTCCAAAGGCGGATAGTGCTGTGCTGCCACTGGGGGAGAGGGAGGAGGTGGCACAGGTACATGACCCGCAGCAGGGGCAGGGGAGTGAGTCTGACTATCGGGTTATGGTGACGGCCCCGCCCCAGTCGCCCCAGATGCGCAAGTAGATGGTGCTTGATGGCCAGATTGGCTGGTGGGGTGTTTTATGCGTGTCTGTGGGTGGGTGGCTGTGTGGGTATTTGTAAGGGGGGGGGGGAAGAGGAGATGTGGCGCCTGTTGGTCTGTCTGCCTGCCTGCCTGCCTGCCTGCTGCGGCGGCGTTTAGTAGTGGGCAGGGCAGGTTCGTTGGTTGGTCATTGGTTGGTCGGTACGATCACGATTGGTAGCGATACTGATAGATAAGTGTACGAGTAAGTCGGTATACGTAGGATAACTGAGTGCCTCCACACACACATAACATACACACACGTCGCACACCTTCATCGGGCCGCTCCGCTACTCCATGTACATTTATGTTCGTAAGTGCACGTCGCGTCACGTAAGTGACCATTTTGACATGAATGGATGATACACTCACTCAGTACACAGACAGTAAGGACAATGACCCTTCCTCCCCTCTCCCCCTCTCAGACATCCCTTTTCCCCTCCTTTGTTTGCCTGTCGACCGCACATGCGCATGCGACACGTACGTGTACGTAGGACAGAAAGATCGACTGCTGTATGATCATGATCAAATGGCGTCTGTGTCTCTGTGTGCGCATGGGACACCACACCGATCCATCAACTGATGGATCTGGATGGATGGATGGGTGGAGTCTCATGGCCATGTGTGTGAGTCAACATCTTACCCACGTGCAAGTTTCTGCAATTGTCACGACATTCCCGCAGCAGAATGTAGCCAACGAATGTGGCACGGCATGGCGCATGTAGAGAAGAGACACGGTCGCGACAATGCAGGTCGGGAAACATCTCGACGGATATAAAATGTAAGCAGCGATACTCTTGGTGGCTCGCCCTGCTTCTGCTGCAACTGCCTTATGTCCAACATAACAAACGAGAAACAGACATGCATTTGGCACATCACCCCAGTCTTGTGTGTCGATGTGCCTTCTTCTCACCTTGTGCATGACGCCACTCGCTGACGGCCTCATGATGAGCAGCTGGTTCTCATCTTCATCTTCAGACGGAGGCGGCTCTAGCGCCGGTGAAGGCTGATGTCTCCTCCCTTCCTCTAGCACCCGAAATCCTTGAATGTTGACGTAGTGGTTGCGGCGCATGTCGGGTGGCTGGCCCGCCCTCTTCCTCGCCCGCTCGACCTTCAAGCGCAGCCCCCGAAAATCCCAGCTCTCCCGTAGGCGGCGCACTTCGGCTTTGACATAATACTTGCCCCCTCCCCCAACACGAAAGGGCTCCGCCAGCACAAGGAAAGCCTGGGAGTCGCTGGTCATGATGTGGGCTTTCAGGCCCTTGAAGGCGGCGGCCTTGTGGAAGGCGGCGTGGAGGGCGGCAGGGCAGGAATCCTCGTCGTCCATACCAGACGACGGCATCCCTGAGGAACGAGTCACGTTGTCGTCGTTGTCAGACGCTGCACATATTATATGGACGGCACAAGGATAGTCAATCAGATATGTGTTGTTGTGTTGCAATGAGTTGTTCTCCTGACTTGTGAGAGGCGCCCTCAAACCTGACGAATGAACCAATTTGGGCTCACCGGCTGCCTCCTTTTTGCGTGTTCGTGTCTCTATCTGTCGCCTGCCCACCCGCCTCTGTGTGGCCCGTCTGTCTTTGGGCGATGTGAGTACGGTGCCGTCTCCCTCCCTCGTTGTCCATCTCGAATAGCCATCGGCACGAGGGGGGCCTTCGACCCTGGCGAAGAGGTCTTTCTTCTGCTTCTTCTGAGGAGGAAAGAAGAAATGGGCGCGGCAGAATATCAAAAGAAAAATCCAAGCGAATATAAAATGCAGGCGGCGATTGAGGCCGCGTCGGCCTCCTGTGGCTCCACCAGACACACAGATGAAGGGAGACACAATGAATGAATGGATCATCACACGGCAATACGCATCTCTGTGTTTGTGTGTGACCACCGCCTCCCAACTCACCGCTGACGGGCTTCACGGGAGTCGCATGGCCTGGCTCAGCTCCTGTATGAACGCCATGTGCACCACGTCCGGCCGAACATAGCCCTGCCGCAGTCGGCGAAGGAGGACAGGCATATGGTGTGTATCCATACGTGTGTGTCTGTATGTGTGTTGCTTACGATTCGGACAGCGGCAATGCGGTCGACCTGTTGGCAGAGCTTGGGAGTGCTCCTCTTCTCGTCATCCTGACACATAACAAAAGAAGAGCAGACATGCACTTGGCACATCACCCCAGTTCCTGTGTGTGTCGATGTGCCTTCTTCTCACCTTGTGCATGGCGCCACTCGATGACGGCCTCGTTGCTAGCAGCTGGTTCTCATCATCAGAGTCTGACGATGACGGTGGCTGGGGGCTGCGGGTCTGACCGTCCGGTAGCTGCTGATGTCCCCTCCCTCCCTCTAGCACCCGAAATCCTTGAATGTTGAAATAGTGGTTGCGGCGCATGTCGGGTGGCTGGCCCGCTCGACCTTCAAGCGCAGCCCCCGAAAATCCCAGCTCTCCCTTACGCGGCGCACCTCGGCGCTGACGTGCCCCAGCACGAAAGGGTCCCGCCAGCACGAGGAAGGCCTGGGAGTCGCTGGTGATGATGTGGGCTTTCAGGCCCTTGAAGGCGGCGGCCTTGTGGAAGGAGGCGTGGAGGGCGGCAGGGCAGGAGTCCTCGTCGTTCATGCCGGACGACGGCATCCCTGAGGAACGAGTCACGTTGTCGTCGTTGTCAGACGCTGCACATATTATATGGACAGCACAAGGACATTCAATCAGATATGTGTTGTTGTGTTGCAATGAGTTGTTCTCCTGACTCTCGAGAGGCGCAGCGGGTGGTGGCTCAACAGCCATGGGCGACCGAGAGGCTCCCAACATCGACACACCTGGCGTACCACACACCGCACACCACACACCCGCATGCACGAGAGTGCAATGCATGCCGCGCCCTTCAATATCTTCCTACGCTTCTCCTGGTTGACGGCAGGTGGACGGTGATGGATGGGGGCCTGCAACACACACACATACACATGCACATGCACATACACGCACACACACACACCCACACACAAGTGACCGACCTGGAGGCACCGCTCCGATGGCCCTGCAGTGCAGCACACACAACAAGTGGAGACAACAATCATGGTTGCAGGTCGGTTTGTCGGTGTCTGGTCGGTTTGTTTGATGTGACCTGAGCATCTTGAAGAGAAGTCAGTCGACGTCGCAGCTGCCTGTTGAGCCCTCGGCCTTCCGCTCCCGCTTTCTTCCAGCCGTCTCACACTGAGTCTCCTTCTCTGCACCACACAAACAAACAAACAAACAAACACAGTTTGGCCTCACTGTTCCTCCATCCCTCCATCCGCCCGTGCCACGCTGCCCGTCTTTTTTCAGCCCTTCTGACCTTCCTCTTCCAGTAGCCGGCCCTCAGTGTGTGCCTGCAGTCACTCATTGACGAGCAAGTCACGTATCAGAGGAGCAGACATGCACTTGGCGCACCACCCAGTTCTTGTGTGTGTCGATGTGCCTTCTTCTCACCTTCTGCACGAGGCCTCCCGCTGACGGCCTCGTTGCTAGCAGCTGGTTCTCATCATCAGACGATGACGGTGGCTGGCGGCTGCGGGTCTGACCGTCCTTGCTCGCTGAGGGGCCACCGTCGTCGATCTCGGGCGGCATGGCGATCTCCGGTAGCTGCTGTCCCCTCCCCCCCTCCAGCACCCGAAATCCTTCAATGTCGACGTAATGGTTGTGGCGCATGTCGGGTGGCTGGCCCGCCCTCTTCCTCGCCCGCTCGACCTTCAAGCGCAGCTTTAAAAAATCCCAGCTCTCCCTTACGCGGCGCACCTCGGCGCTGACGTGCCCCAGCACGAAAGGGTCCCGCCAGCACGAGGAAGGCCTGGGAGTCGCTGGTGATGATGTGGGCTTTCAGGCCCTTGAAGGCGGCGGCCTTGTGGAAGGCGGCGTGGAGGGCGGCAGGGCAGGAGTCCTC